AAATATTGGGATACTGCTACCACATGCTATATCTTTTATCTCTTTATTTATACCTAGTCCCTAGCCTAGCGCTTCTCAATCTTGGTGACTTTAAAATGTGTTGATTTCCAGAATTCTCCAGATCCACCAATGTGATTTTTCTCCTTGGTGGTTCCTTGTTTAGGACTGTTTTCTGCCTGATTGTTTGTCTGGTGTTAATCCCTGCTTATCTGAGCATAGGCTGCTGGAGAGGATGTGTTTATAAAGCTATATCGAGTGGAGTAGAGAGAGCCGTTTTACCCTAGATCAGTGGTTCCCAACCTTTTTTTCGCCCCACACCCCTAAAGAAATTTCACTCAAACCTCGCACCCCCTCAAATTTAGACTTTAGGAACTACTGAACGCGTTAAATATATGGTAGGATTGAATCTTTTCAGCTATGTATGTGACGGCCACTAAATAACGATACTTAACTCTAAAATGAAAACAAAGTTAATCCATTGCATAATAAATAAAAATGCCAACATATAGCCAATATCCTATTATTTACCTGGACTTTTCTCGCACCCCCTGGAATATCGTTTTACACCCCCAGGGGGTGCGAGTACCCCAGGTTGGGAACCCCTGCCCTAGATCGATGTTTCTCAAACTTGCCAATCTTAAGATGTGTGGATATAGCCTCACTGGGGAATTCTGGGAATCAAAGTCTACACACTTCAATACCGCCAAGTTTGGGAAACACTGGTCTAGAATAACTCGAGATTAAAAAGAATTTGGTGGCTTCTTTTAAGACAAACTTAAAAAAAAAAATTAGCCATGATCTCTCCACCTTAAAACAAAGCTGTTTGAGTCCATCTGTTGCCTGGCTCACAACTTGAGTCTTAGATTCTCATGATGCAATGCAGGAAAAGTTGGTGGGGCCCCAGGGTTGCTAAGAAATCATAGTGTTTTCAAGCTTGGGTGAAACCGTGAAATCATGAGCCAAGTTTGCAAACGCTTGGACCAAACTGTGATACAGCACAGATTGTTATGAAGAACGGTTGCAGGAATTGTGTATGGCCAGTCTAGAGAAAAAAGAAGGACTAGGGGGTGACATGATAGCAGTCTTCTGGTATTTGAGGGGCTGCCAAAAAGAAGAAGGAGTCAAGCTATTCTCCAAAGCACCTGAAGGCAGGACAAGAAACAATGGATGGAAACTCATCAAGCAGAGAAGCAACCTGGAATTAAGGGAGAAACTTCCTAACAGTGAGAACAATTAAACAGTGGAAGGACTTGCCTTGAGAAATTGTGAGGGCTTCCATCCCTGGAGGTTTTCAAGAAAAGACTGGACAGCCACATGTCTGAAATGGTGTAAGGTCTCTTCCTTGAGCAGGAGGTTGGACTACATTACAGGGGTCGCCAACCTTTTGGACCTCAGGGACCACCAAACTTATAATTTTAGATCCCAGGGACCACTAACCGGTTCTATGGGTGTGGCCTAATTTGTGGGTGTGGCTTGGTGGTCATGTGACTGCCTGGGCATGGCTTGTATGTAAATATTATAAATATTTATATAAATATTGATTTTTTTAATAAAAAAGAGCAACTTTTACCCCAAATCAGGCAAAGCAGGCAGGCAGATTGAGTTGCTCACAGAATCACAGATTCATTCAGCCATCGGCTAGCTCAGTCTGTCGCATAAAATTTGCTTGCAAGCAAACTCACAAAATTACCTCACAACACACCATGTATGTAAATATTGGATTTTTTATATATAAAAAGCAACTTTTATCCAAAATCAGGCAAAGCAGGCAGGCAAATTGAGTTGCTCCCAGAATCATTCAGTGATCTATCTATCTGCCATCGGCTAGCTCAGTCTCTCAAATTTGCTTGCAGTGAGTCTGCACTGAATTTGCTTGCAAGCAAACCTTCAGTCCTAAGGGAGATTCGGCTGTGCTTAGCTAGAAAGCAAGAAATCCAACCATTTCCTGCTTCCTAGCTAATCTAAATCTTTCAGCACAGCAGAACAGATGATGGTCAGAAAAAGGAAAAATAGCAACTTAGCAGACAAGTTTGCTGAATAAGGAGTGAGTGGGTGGGCAGGGTTCTGTGGGCCTTGTGGGCTAAGCAGCCTTGTGTTTCTGTGCAGCCTGGATTAATTGCTTTTGGGTTGGGGGTGCTCTGGGGGTGAGATTTCTCTGTGGCCCACCAAAATTTTCTCACGGCCCACCAGTGGGTTGCAGCCCACCGGTTGGCAACCGCTGGACTAGAAGATTAGGACATATCAAATTGGCACATTCCCGGTGGAAAACCGGCTCTAAGTTGCTGCCGGTTTTTCACCCAATTAAAAGTCAAACTTTGTCCCTTCTCCCCAGAGTCTCTAGTCACATGGTCCAATCAGCATATAGCCGGTTGCTAGGTGATCTCAGTCTCCACCCTTTGAACACCTGCACCACCGTCCTTGATTCCCAGGGGACAGAATTTTATTTAGGCTACAACTACAACCCCAGCTATTTCTACACCAGAGGTAGTATTCAGCAGGTTCTGACCAGTTCTGGAAAACCAGTAGTGGAAATTTTGAATCGTTTGGAGAACTGGCCGATACCACCTCTGACTGGCCCTACCAACCTCATCTATTCTCAGCCTCCTGAGTCCCAGCTCATTGGCTGGGTCTTCTTTTGTTGCCCTGCACAGGAGAACGGAGCTGGAAAGCAGGCTAGTGGAGTGGGGAGGGAATGTGATGGCAGTAACCTTCTCCCAGGAGTGGGGTGGGAATGGAGATTTTACAGTATCCTTCCCCTGCCACGCCCACCAAGTCACACCCGAAGAACCAGTAGTAAAAAAAAATTGAATCCCACCACTGGTCTCTACCCTTTGAACACCTGCACCACCGTCCTTGATTCCCAGGGGAAAGAAGTTTATTTAGGCTACAACTACAACCCCAGCTACCTCTATTTACACCTCCCTTCCTGGCCCCCTTGCTCCAGGCTGTGTCAGCCCTGAAGCAGTGAGAAGAGAAACCTCCTTATAGAAAACTACCCAAAGGAAAATGGGCACAGTTTGGTCAACTTCGGGGGTTGACCACTGGGAGATTTCAACCATATTGGTTGAATTGAAATGGGAGTCTGTAGAATATGCCCTTAAATTTCAGAACGGCTTGTAGACTTTCTCCCAGCAACTTTGAAGGCAGCAATTTGTCCTACTGATGTACCTGTGTGCCCTCTTTCCACCTGGTCCATCCCCTGCCTTCCCTTCCAACATGACAGAGGTGGTATTCAGCAGGTTCTGACCAGTTCTGGAGAACCAGTAGGAGAAATTTTGAACCGGTGGTAACCTTCCCCCAGAAGTGGAGAGGGAATGGGGATTTTGCAGTATCCTTCCCCCGGCCGTGCCCACCAAGCCACACCCACCAAGCTGTGCCATGCCCACCAAGCCACGCCCACAGAACCTGTAGTAAAACTTTATGAATCTCACTGCTGCAATGTGACAAAGGGTTAAATTGCTCAGAGATGCTTTCGCTGCTGCAAATTTGGACCGGAGCGCTTGTAATTTTCACGTGGAAAGATTGAGCTCCTGCACTGCCTGCCAAAAACTTCGATTTGGAGGGGTTACAAAAAATGCAGCTCTCTCTCGTAACTTTGCAAAAACATTTCACTCCAATGCGGAATGAAGAACAGGCCACGCCACCTGATCCTGGCCTGTTGTGTTGTGTTTTTCTCTTCCCAGGCCTTTTTTTTTTGTTTTTTTAAAGAGTGATGTAGCAGGCAAACATTATGCAAGCCTGTAATTATTGTGAGTTTCTTCTTCCCCAAATGGCTTAAAACATAGAGACATCCACCCTGGCGGTTAGAATTACTGTGTGATTTCTTAATTCTAGGAATTCTTCTAATTGTTTTCATCCCTGGTAGATATTTAACACGGTTTGGATCGCTGCCATGAGAATATGATACCTGGGGTTTTTTTAATTGCTAATCTTTTGACATAATCTTCTTCAGACTGAGTTTTCACAGAGATGAGGTGCTCTGTCGAGTCTGCCATCTAAGCTCACGGGAAGGTTGTAGGAGGGTTATAGAAGAATGTATTATGGTTGGACACACCTTCAGCCAGATGTTCAGCCTGGATTTGGCATTTTTGTCCACCACCAAGGACCTGGGATAGGCAGATGTTGTCATTTGGAGATGTTCAAGATGAAGAAAGGAAGGGAGGGAGGAGAAATGAAGGAAGGGAGGAAGAAGGAGGGAGGGGAAGGGGGGAGGGGAATAAGAAGAAGGAAGGAAGGAAGGGAAGGAGGGAGGGCGGAAGGGAAGGAAGGAGGGTAAAAGGAAGGGAGGGAGAGATGGGAATAAGAAGAGAGGAAGGAAGGCAGGAAGGAAGGAAGGAGAAATGAAGGAAGGGGAAGAGAAGGAGGGAGCGGAAGGGAGGGGAAGGGAGGGAGGGGAATGAGAAGAAGGAAGGAAGAAAGGGAAGGAAGGAGGGTAAAAGGAAGAGAGGGAGAGATGGGAATAAGAAGAAAGGGAGGGAGGGAGGAGAAATGAAGGAAAGGGAAAATAAGGGAGGGGAAGGGAGGAATGGGAATGAGAAGAAAGAAGAAAGGGAAGGAGGAAGGGAGGGAAGGAAGGAAGAAGGGAAAAAGGAAGAAGGAGGGATAGGAATAAGAAGGGAGGGAGGGAGAGAAGAAAGGAAGGAGGGAAGAAAAAAGAAAGGGAGGAAGGAAGGAAGGAGTTGAGAGAGTGAGAGGGAAGGAGGGAGCAAGGGAGGAAGGAAGAATATTCATGATAATTCAGCAAATGGAATATCAGCTGAATAGCCAAAGACTTCTAATCCAGATTTAAAAGACCCAAACTTGGAATGACCTCTGCCTAGAATAGCCGAGCTCCTTGGTCCATTTCCTGCCTCCCCCCTTCATTTTCTCCCAACCTGAAGTTTTCTTTCATCCCCTTTGGCAAAAACGTGGACCTCTTTGGGGACTGTAACTGTGCGAACACAAAAGAGCATTTCTCTGCCCGCTCGCCAAGGCATTGATTGATTTCTCTTCTTTTCTAGACGCCCCTTCAGTACAGTCAAGCCACAAACCAAAGTAATCAAGTGAGACTGTATTGTGCCTTTCTGGATTACAGGTGAGTTTTCATCCTGGTGTAAGACCTCATTTGTTGCAAGGTGCATCCAGCCGTGTCACCTGCTCACCCCTACCTGCTGGATTCACAGGAAGAAAAGCCAGAATAACGAAATCATGATTCTTGTCAGCAGCAAAGCTAAAAACAGGCGGCTAGGTCATTATTAAGTCAAGTCTGGTGGGAACTGCATTATTATTATTCATCGCATAGTCAGCCAGATGTTCAGACTGGGGTTGGCATTTTTGTCTACCTGTGGAGTCCTACCAAGGACCTGGCATAGGCAAATCTGGATGTTTGATGGTGTTACAGAAATCGCCGCAGGATGGAAGCTGTTCCAAGCAAAGCTGCCTTCTGCAATTGACTGATGGCAAATTTGTCAATGCCATCAATGGTGTTCAAGTGATGCTCCAGTTATTTTGGGACTACACCCAAAGTGCCTATGACTATTGGTACTACCCTTGCTTGCCTTTGCCATCGTCGTTCTATTTCCATTTGTGGATCTTTATATTTTGTCGTCTCCTCCTCCTCCTCCTCCTCCTCCTCCTCCTCCTCCTCCTCCTCCT